ATAAGAATCAATCCAACATCTCATTCAATTATTATTTTAGACTTCAATATATTTTAGGTGTCCTTGTTTAAATGTTTAGAGTTTTAAACTACAGAAAGTTAACCAACCACCTGATGACTGACACATGCAGTTCTTAAAAATTGCTAAGAATGACTATAGTGCAATTTGTCAGCACACAAGTGCACAACTAATTAATTTAAAAAGTCTGTAAATTTTGGAGTCATCTGAACCTGACTCAAAGACAAGGTGAAGACTCATGCCCCCAGAAATTAATTAGAAAGTTTTAAAATGAAAGAGTTCCTTAAAAGTTATCGTACCATAGAACAAGGCTCCGAAAGAACTATAAGCAACTAAATTTTTCTGCATACCCTCCAAACACAGGCACATGGGAAAGCAATTCTGAGAAATGGTAACACATTCAGAAAGAGACTTTAGAGTCAAGCTCCTGCACGCAGAATAAGCTTATGTTGTAAAAATCTATGTATAAGAATATTCTTAGAAGCTTCTTTTTTCACCCAGAATTAACAAATCGGTAAGTAAGTCTAAACTATTCTTCTCCCCTATAATTAAACCAAACTCAGTCAAATTGCTGCAGAACAGCTGCAAAGCCTCCTAAAATTCACTAATTATTCACTACACTGTGATGGCTAACAAATGCACAGACACAGGGCGCAGTATAACTGGTTAGAATAGTTACGTTCCTTTTAAAAGAAAGTAGTTCACGGAAACTTAAATCTTGTAAGAAATTACAAGTTCGTTTTACATGTAAAATACAAACCTTTCACTACAACATTATACATACAGTTGTGACTTGAACAGTAAGACTACATGATCACAGCTAGAAAGAGTAATTATTTTTAAGTATAGCTTAACTGTCAGGAATAGAGAGGCAATAACAGTGAAGGGAAAGGAAGAAGGCCTTTTATAAATCCTTGCCATAGAAATGTCTAATATGGTAGCCATCAGTACACTCAGAAGTGCAAAGAAGAGACAGACATCTTTAAAGATAACAGCTCACCACCCCCAAATTTAAAGATGTGCATTCTCTGTCTTAGGTGCTTCCCCTGCTACATACACATTTAAGCATACAAGAAAAACTCATTATCAGAACAGGGGAAATTCAATGCACGTACTTTCGTGAACAGCTTTAACGTAAGCTAAGTATTAGAGCTACTAAAAGGGACTAAAACTCAGACTGGTTTACTTTTTATACCATGGTGATTTTCACATACAATACTTCCCAAATATGCAGAACTTCCTATCCCTTTCGACATATTCACTGACCCACAGGCTTAATAACAGATAGAACCTTACAACAATCAGGACCACTGAAATTGTTACGTAACACACGCCTGCTCTGTGCTAAACACATCGCACAAACACAGATTAAGTCAGATTTTCACTTAAAGGATACGAGAAGCGATCATTCCAGGTTGCTCTTTCAACATAATCCAACATCACAACAGCTTTAATTGTTGTTAGAAGTTTGTTCCATGTTTCATCAAAGTCAACTACTCGTGGTTTCAAGGACATTGTGGGGCTTTAGTGTTAATCTGTAGAATTAAACATCAGACAACATTGTGCAATAATTTAAAAAAAATACATTTTCTTTGAATTTTTCAATTTAAACTTTGTACGCTGTTGCAACACCATGATACAGTAACACAAAGAACACCCACCCCTGCTTCCCCACGATCCAAAAGTCAAGCTCACAAGTCCTTATTTTTAAGGTTATGGAATGGAACATTAATGTTGCATGAATAGCCTATAACATAACACCAATTTATCTAACACCACCATGCCTCATGAAGTTCATTACCATACCAAGCTGCCCATTTAACAGTGCCATACGAAGAAAACAACTTTCCTGTAAATTTTTGTTTGTTCACTTTTATGCAAAGACTATTTCAGCTGTATCCGAGAGAATTTTGGGCACGAACACGCTGAACATATTACCAGAGTATTTTAAATTACTACTGGCAGTTCGTAGCCTATGTTCACCTCTAGCTTTCATGAGACATTTTTGGTGTTATATTTAAAAAGCCACAAAACCCGAAAGCTTTGATCAGGATGACAAAAAGAAAACACTTCTGAACACAGAGCATTATGCAGAGCGTGCAGCTTATTGCACTGCACAACAGGACAAATAGCAAATTCCTTCAAATAAGACATGACCTGAAAATACAGAAGCTGTATTAGTAGTTTCATATCAAAAATACTGAAAGAACAACATTAAATTATTGAAATAAAACCAGGAAAAGAATAAGGTAATTTTAAAAAAGAGGTCCTAAGAGACAATTGTGAAGGCCTCTTCTTTGTTTCTGTTTGTCTCTGTCCTATGCACCTAATCTAGAAAGGACCTGATGTGTGACATTCCATGCACACAGTCCAGTTCCTGCTCAGAAACACAACATTGTAAGACTTAAAAAAAAAAGTAGAAAGAATACTTCTTTTTTCCATTTTCAATAGATGGACAAGCGACTCAACTTGTCTTCTCAAATTTTCAGAGTCAGAAGGGAAAAAAGAAAGCCAGTAACAGAGTGCAAGAGGCACACCTCCACAAGGGAAAGAATCATGTCACATGTCACACTAGAAAACTATTTAGCAATGAGCTTACTACCTTAACCACTACTGGCTCTTAGTTTTTCCTCAGGCAGGTAAGTTCTCTCAAACTGTAGGATATATAGCATCTCAGTTTAAGGGGAAAAGAACCCCAATCAATCAAAAACCAAACCCAGATGCAACTTTTACACTGTATGCACGCAAAATGCCACCCTGACTAACTAACCAAGCTTCTTAACTACTGTGAATTCAAGAACCGCAGTGTTGTTTTCCTCTACCTGCAACACAACAGTTTCCGTTTAAATTGTAATCAATGTATTACCCAACCCACATTTGCTTTGATTTCATAAAGAAACTGAGTAGCAACTAAGTAATATCAAGGAAGTGGTATTATCCTAAGGTTTTATGAACAGGAAACTTTAAGAATAACTAAAGCTCAGTAAGTGCTGCATAAATATTTTCAGTCAGTAGAAACATTTAAGTTGCTATATTTGCAACATGGCTATTACCACTTTTGGAAATTAAAAAAAAAATCTTTAATCCATGTATGTCAGTAGCAGCTTACTACACAGAAAATCAGTAAGAATTGACAAAACAGATATATACATATGCATCAAAGAAAGTAAGCTGAAAAACACAAACTGATGTACGTTTCAAAAAAATATGAACCTCAGTAGAAGTAAACAACAGCAAAGCTCACTTCCAGGAGAAGGGGGGGGAAAAAAAGCAGTCTTCTAAAAGCTGTAATATTCTTCTTCTTCTGGAAAACGTGAGTACTTTCAGCTGACCTCAAGAAAAAATAATCATTGTCCACAAAAACTAAGAATCCTAGGAAATTCTTGTGGTAATGAAGTTCTACTTTGTTGAGTGTTATGTTATAGGTTGCTCTCTCTGAAATACACCTGTACCTCCAAGGTAAAGAACCATTCCTTCACAAATAAGCAAAACTGAAGGGAAAAAGGAAGCATGAAGAAAAAGTCCTCCCCACAATACATCACACAGTCAGTAACACTGTGTTTAGTATCACTAAAACCTAATAATATATAAAGTACTATGCATCCATATAATCATAAAGGTATTCTGGGGTTAAATATTTTAAAGATAGAGTTGACTGTTATTCAGCATTCTCAATGCCAATTAATGAATTTAAACTTGTTTTACAGACATGTTAACAGACGCAGTATAACTTTTTCTGTAAGACGCTGGGATTTGAGGCATTAGCCTGTGCTTCAGAGTCTGCAGTGCACAAGCGCACCAGCTTAGAGTATTAAATGTCTCGTATGCATGGAAGTAACCTCCATGGCAAAAATTATAGCAGAGCAGAATACCTACCCTAGGGTTTATGCTATTCAGGGAGTGGGAAACCATTCCTGTTTGACAAGCCCTAAGGTAAGTAGATATTGTTGAAACATATTTACACATGAGAATAATGAAAACATGTTGCTTCCATCGCCTCGTTCTTTAAAACATACCGCCATCATAGTGAATATATTTGTTCACAAAAACAAATGCAGGGGTTTGGCCAGCATCAAAACATTCCCCAAATTTCCAACCAATTTAACTACCTCGAGAAATATTATCACAAGGTAGTGGTGGGTGAACAGCCCAGGGCAGGAGTACCCGCATCAAACACGTACA